TATTATGGTGTTAGGCATATAGTAGACACTCATTAAATGTCTGTTGGATGAATGAGTGGTCTGTGATGGGTGCTTTCCATTGAATCTCAGTCGTCTGGAAATTTTAAATGTAAGAAATACTGCCATGGGCATTTGGTGATGAGCATCTGGACAACAGCATGAAAAAGTCCAGACACAAATGAACAACGAGTTACCACACCTAAAGACCTGCACAGGGGCCACGGGGTGTGGGTCCGGAGGGCTGCAGGGGTGCACAACAAATAATGAATGACTAGCTTCACTGGAGTCTTATTTATGCTCAATTGGTGACATTAGCTTCAGGTAAACGATCTTGTCTTCTTTAACCCTGTGAGGAGCCCGAGTAAGTACTTGCTATATGAATTTTCTCATGGCTTTTGGTTTTTACTTGTCTTCAATTCCCTAACAAGGATTTAAATAGAATCAAGACATCATTATATAAAACTTCTTGTATTGTAGTCAAAGGCACTTTTCAAGTTAACCAATAACTATTTTTTCCAAAAAATGTTTAAGTAAAAGCTTATTCATGAATTTGCTATTTATTCTTCATTCTTGCTATTTGTTGCTTTTTATTTTATTGTGAATATTTAATATTTACTGAAATATATTATGAATGATACAATGAAAATGTACTTACACATTACGCATCTTGAGAAATAAAACATTTTCAATCCATTCGAAGTCCCAAGTGGTCTTATCCTTGATTATATAGCTCTTTCTCCCAGCTAGAGATAAAAACTGCCTTGACTCTGGAGATTATAATTCCTATGTGTCTCTTTATACTTTTCTTCATATATATTCATCCCTTAAAATATATATTATTGTTTACAAACTTATGGTCTTTATGTAACTGGTATCATAATTTATACATTCTTTTGCAGATTATTTCATTAATATTACATTTTTGAAGTTTAGCTTTACTGATACATGTGGCTGTTGTATAGTATCTCATTGTATGAATATAACGTATTTTCATCCGTTTCACTTTTGATTAATATTTAGGTTCTTTGCACATTTTTATTCCTATTACAAACAATATTTTTATGAACATTCACATAGCAGTTTCCTTGTGGACATTGCGAGAGTTTCTCTAAAGTGGGAAATTAATAATAACATTTATACTACTACTACTGATACAATCTGCAACTTATTAAAAGCTAAAAATATTACTTCTAAGTATTTTACATATATTAAATCACTTTATCCTCACATCAAATGCTATAAGACAGATAAAATTATTGCCACCATTTTACAGATACAGAAAACATAAGTGGGCAATGGCGGGATGATATGCAAATTTTAAATTTTACCAAATATAGCAAATCATTCTTCAGATGTTTCAAACAGTTTCCACTCTCATTAGTGGTATATAAATATTAATATGTATTCTTGTAGCATTTGATCAGGTCAGGTTTTCAAAATCGGGTTTAAAAACTTTTATAAAGACAAATAATATATATTCATGTATCATTTGTGCAAATGCTCAGAAAAGAGAGAAAGACAGAGATATCAAAATAAATTCTTTCTTAGGCATGGTGGAAAAGGAAGGTTGGGAGATGAGAACACAGTAAAATGCCCTTAAGAGAGTCCAAAACATTGTTAATCACCTGGCGCATGCCTGTTCAAGGAGTGAAGGCATACAACTACAAAGTCTTCGTTTTCTCAATGCTTAAGGGGTTACTGAACACCAACGGGGAAAGTCTGAATGAAAAATCTGAGGACAGAAAATCCCATCACCTCACTCAATGCTTTCCCAGCTTGAACATTATGATTTCTCGGTGAGTGATGTGCTCTGAATACTTTCACCTTTTCCTTTTAGTTGTGGGCCATAAAGGAGGAGTTTTTACCTCCTTTAGTTGGGAAATAGCACGGAGAAAACTCAGTACTTTTTTAAAAGCTAAAATGTTCACTTTTCTCCAGCACTTATTAACTTTCTTGCATGTCACATAAAAGGAAAGAATGTTTATTATGCACGCCTGATTGAGGGAGAGATATACTGAAATTATGGACACAGGAGATTAAGGATCTTTACAACTATGGTCACCTCAAAGGAAAATAAAACTTTCCAGCCCATGGAGGCTGTGGGAAATGCCATTTTCCACTAACCAATATTAACACTTGAAGCACATAGGGACCTTAAAGTCCCACCAAATGAAAATTCCCACAATGCGGGAAGTGGGCTTTATACCACAGGGACGGCTGATTCCCTCCTCATCAAAGAGACTCTCTGTGTTCAGCAGATTTCAGAAACTCTGGCATTTCTGTAAGGGAGTTATGCAAACACGCTTGACTAAGTAAAAGGGTAAGACCGGTTTTGCAAAGAAATAAAAAATCAGGCCATAAAATTTTAAGATATGCTCACAGCAACAAAACTCTATTTGAGTCACACACCCTATGTTTTTATGGGAAATGCCTTTCCCCACTGAAAACTTAGAGATACTATCACCTCTATAAACTACTACCTCCTAATCCTCAAAGGGAGAATTTAAGAACTCTGAACGTTCTGATCCTCTACTGAATTTTATAGAAGAAGCTTTACGAGACCATGAACCACCCTTTCTGATTCTCTAATTCTGGAGAAAATATCAACAGCGGCAACAAAAGATTCCTTCTTTTGTTTCTCAGTCCCACCGAGTTTGTAAAGGTCTCTGAGTTCTTCAAACATCATACTGGATTACTTAGTGGACAAAATTTAAAAGATAAATAAATAAATAACTCTTCCTGGCGTTTCAGTTATAAAGAGACACCCAGGTTTGGTGTCACTGTGATTGGTTAAATCCTCTCAGCTCAGGGTGGGAATGTATTCTCTTCCTCTTTCCTAAAACAAAGAGAACATATTTCATGATGGATGCTTGGTTATGGAAGGATCAGTTTCCAAGTGATTTAGTGATTATAAGCCAGTCCTTATTCCCCCATGAAACTACTCAAAAGTTGAAGTTTGCCATGATATTCAAATGAAAGAGAAGAAAAAAAAAGAGTAGCTCATTTAGAAAACGCACTTCCCTTTGTCTATGTCTTAATTAAGCCAGTGTGTCTATTCTCCATTAGGAGATCTGTGTCTGAGCTCTCCTAAATTACCTGAGATCTTAGACTGTAACATGTGACTCGAGAAGAGCCAATTCCGTTAAAGACTGTGCCGGCTAACAGAACTTCAGCTCGTGATGTATTCAGAAGTCAGTGTCTGAAGTCATTATATATTTTAGTACCAAAAAAATGATTTTGAGAAGCATACTATTATTCAAGAGTGTGTTTATCCTGTGATAAGTTTCTGGAAGCACTATTTGATACTTATTTTTACATGGAGTAGGAGGTTGGGGTCCAGAGATAGACAAAAGAATAGGGAAGGAATGTGAAGTGCTAAAAACAAGGGAGAGAAAAAACAGAGAATCGATGAGAAAAACAACAATTGAACGGGTCTTAAAATGTCTCATTCCTCCCTAATAAATTAGCATATATAGGAAATCTCAATTGTTTTAAGGAGCAGGAAGGGTAGGGCATGAAGGGTGGATGGCTTAGCTTAGTCCATTTTCTGCTGTTGTAAAAGAGTACCAGACTGGGTAATTTATAATGAACAGGAGCTTATTTGGCTCATGGTTCCAGAGGTTGGGAAATCCAACATCAAGGGGCTACATAGTGAGGGTCTTCTTGCTGTGGCACAGCATGGCGGGAGGCAACACATGGTAAGGGACAGAGAGAGAAAAAGGAGGCCAGACTGAGATAACTAACCCACTCCTAAAATAATAGCATTAACCCATTTACAGGGCCAAAGTTTTCATGATCTGATCACCTCCTAATGGTCCCACCTGTTAATTCCATCACAATGTCAGTTAAATTTCAACATGAGTTTTGGAGGGGATATTCAAACCATAGCAGTGGAAAGGAAGGTTTCTGAACCTAAGGAAGCCCACAAGTGAGGCAACAAATCCAACTTCAAGAGTCAAAGATTAAAGCTGATATTGCTGGTTGTTGTCTTAGTTTAGGATCCCCCAGAGGCAGACCCTGATGCAGGGATTTGAGGAAATTAGCATATCTCAGAGGTAAAGGAAACACAAGTAGGACAGTGAGGAAGCAAGACACAGAAAGGAACTCAACTGTAATGATAATAAAATCCACGGTGGCTCAAGCCTGTAATCCCAGCACTTTGGGAGGCTGAGACGGGCGGATCACAAGGTCAGGAGATCGAGACCATCCTGGCTAACACGGTGAAACCCCGTCTCTACTAAAAAACACAAAAGACTAGCCGGGCGAGGGGGCGGGCGCCTGTAGTCCCAGCTACTCGGGAGGCTGAGGCAGGAGAATGGCGTAAACCCGGGAGGCGGAGCTTGCAGTGAGCTGAGATCCGGCCACTGCACTCCAGCCTGGGCGACAGAACGAGACTCCGTCTCAAAAAAATAAATAAATAAATAAATAAAATAAGATAAAATCCAGCCAGCACTGGAGTGATTGGGACTCAGTCCCATCAGAGAATTCTGGGAATTCGTGTAGAACAGATGCCTCAAAGGTCTTCCCTCTCTGGGAGTAAGAGAGCTGGGATACTCATTGACTGCTGCCTCTAAGGGTATTCATTTTGACACTTTCAGCACTGTCCATGAGCAGGCTGAGACAGGCTTGCTCACCAGAGAAAGCCCCCAGGCACAGTGATACAGGTGTTGGCAGTTGGAGTCCATGAGTAGATACTGAAGTGAGGGGAGGGAGGGTGGATGGGCACCAGCATTGTCAGCTACAGTTGTGTATGGGCTAAATATAAAGAAAGGGTTCTCCACCTCCCACTTTGTATCATAACCCACAAAGCAACTGACTTCCGTGTTGCACAAGCTATTTTATAGATACATCACTTCATGTGACAGATTATTAAGCACAATTAATTAGGGGCCAACTGAATTTTAATACTGCCTCCTTTAATGACCTAACATGGCACAAAAGCTCTAGAAATACAAAGCTGCAGAGGATGGCAGTGTTCTGTCTTTCATTTCTCAAGACAGATTTGCAATGATCAAGAGGCGTCCTATGAATGCAGTTTGCAAACGACTTAGGCACGCAGCATCTCCTTTGTTCTCACCACAAGGCTGCAGGGTGTGCAGATGTGAGCATTATTTCACTGGTGAAGAAGCATCCTGAGAGGTTACATAGTTCAACTAACGTCACACCAAGAGGTATGGACTTGACCCACTTTCTTCTTTCTCTTTTCTTCTTCCCACCATACCTTGCTGCATTATAAGACTACTGCCAGTTCAGGGAAGATTTTAACTAAAGTTAATTTAAGGCCTCCAAGAATATTTGAAAGTATGTGCTGTATCTAAAAATATATAAAAATGATGACAAAATATAAAAGACGTGTTTCAATTTCTGACACACTGATAGTTATAATATACAGATACAATAATGACTACATCTCTAATTTCTGTCATCTGAATTTGATTCTAGAGCACTTACTACTTGGAGAGTATTAAATATAAAACGAGCCTGAACTTTTCCTTATGTTATCACTGCCACTGCGCTTGGAGAGTCTTCTAGGTTCACAGATTTTTGACTCATTTTCTTTAGCAAAAGCTCAGGAAGTAAAGTCACACATTTACTCACATTGCACTCAAATGTGTGGAGAAAAGAGAGCATCTTTATTTCTCTAAAATGGACTTTTGGCTTCTCATAAGTGCCATCTGCTGGGTTGTATGTGTATGTCCTTGTGAATGTACAAGTAGGTTCAGAGGCATTAGAATTCTCAAACCTTTTTGGTTGAAGCCTCATGTATTTAAAGGACTGTGCAAATGTCTTAAATACACATCTCCATGATTTTTCACAAAATAAAGATAGGGATTCAGTGCTCAGAGCAAGAAACAGAACATCATCAGCCTGGCAAAACCACCACCCCCCTGCCATCTCTCTGTTACTAGATCTTAGAGTGAGAGTAATTGACATAATCCAGTCTAGTAATCTAGGTCTGATTTAATATCTTAATCATGCATGAACTCTTCATTATGTAAAACACCCAATCTGTAAGACTGTGCCACTCTCTCCCTTCTCTGCCCTCAGCAGGATAGCATCTGGGCATTTGGACATGGAGGGTGTGGGGCACAAGCATCTCATGGTCAGGGAATGGGGAAGGAGCATCTCAGATCTGCATCAGAGTTCATGCTGGTCCTAGGACAAGAGTCAAGCACACCCTGCTTTCACCAGCTGCTGGCAGGTGTCACTCAGGTAATGCACAGCTAAACAGAACCCAGTTCTCTCTCTTGACTGGGCCCCCATCAATACATTAGCTCCGAATCATGCTGTGAATCTCTCTCAGTACAAGGTCATAATCCTAACCCAGATGATTCCAAGATGGTGCTCTTTCCCCACCATGATAACCTTTCTGCAACATCCTTGACCATTCTCACCATTATTTCTATTTCCCCTCTTTAAGAACATATGGGTACATCTGGATCCCATTCATGTCATATGCGAACTGAGGACAGCTTGAGGACATTCAGTGTCAGCCCTCTCATGCCTTTATCACCGTGACATTTTCTCCTCCCAGGATCTCAAATGGGAAATAGATCTTGAAAGGGATATCAGATACACATCTAACCATGCGTCTCACCATTATATCAGTCTTTGGCCACTGTAGGAGCACCATTGCCCATCACCATATTAAAAGTGGCCACATGCAGAGTCTTCCTTCCTTATAGTCCATGCAGAAGCCCAAAGAAACAGGCTGCAGTCACAGTAATCTGGGGCTACTCTATACCTCTCTGGATGAACTTAACCTGCACATTCCTGGGGGTAAGAACTTCAAGAACTGACATGTTCACTCCCTCCAGCATCTGCCTTCCTTTCTCTTCTGACGTTGGGTATGTAAAGTGATGATGTTCAGGTTTGGCTTTCATCTGTATTGTATTATAGCCTGTCCTATCCCACTGAGCTTTTCTTTCTTCCACTGCATATCCAACTATTCCTCCCTTAGTGGTCCTAGACAGGAGGCGTCTTCTTTGCTGTAGAAGAAAGCCGGTGATCTGAGCCTGTAGATACAACTCTTAGTCTGCTCAATGCGGCCTACAGGCACCTTAGAAAATCTTTTCTCTCATAATAGAGACTGACTCTCAAGATTCTTATTAAACAACAATGATTTTACAAGTAATGTTGTTCTCTTTGAATTTCTGCTATAGCAATTCTAATGTCTCTTCATCCTCCCATCCCCTACCCTCCACTTCACCAGTCTTCCCAAGGCAATGGATACTTCAGGCTGACTATAGAGAAGGCCATATACTTAGAAACAGAAAAGAGAAAAATGTGTGAATATGTCTCAAAATATTAATCCCAACATACACAAATAAAGTAGTAAGTTGCATGAAGAGTAATTTTAGCATTTTCCCCAATATTCCTGCATTTATGGAGAACCACACATTGTAACTAAAGAACACTAATTTACTAGCTTCAGAAGCATTGAGTTAAGAAGATTTTTTTTTAAAGTCAGCAGACATTCATGTTTATATAATCCTTTATTGTTTAAAGATGTTTTCACATAAATTATCTCATTTGATCCTCACAAAATGAAGTTTTGCTGTTTTCATTTGGAGGCTGACAAAGGCTAAACTATTTGCCATCAGCATATAGTGATACAGTGAGATCAAAAAAGAACCTTTCATTTTGAAACATACCTATCATGTAACTCTGAAAGTAAAAACTGAAACTAGGAGTTTGGGCTAGACTCGCGGCTTTGAGAAGAGCCTTCTTTGTGAACCACTTTCATCATGAGATGTAAATCAAATAGGAGCCCATTATCCTTTGGGAAATTCTGAACATTGTCAAAAGTCTCTAAATTCAAATGCACCAGAATGTTCTTAAAATGTGCACAGCATGGTTGTGGGTGGTGCATCCTTGCAGAGGTTAGTAGTGCAAAGTGATGTTTTCCTTCCTCTGGCAATAACCAGAGGCAGGACTTGGGGGTCTTTCACTCCGGAGAACATTAAAAACCTGGACTCTTTTTGGGACACAAGCATGAAACCCAGCAGATTTTCAGTGTTCTCGGAGCTGTGCCCATAGAGAAATCAGAGATAAAAGGCAGCTGAGGAATTATTTTAACAAGGAGAAGCTGGGATTGTATCTGTGAGCTTCTGTTTTGTGCATTGTACTTACATTCCTTATGTTATTGTCAAGTACCAGCAGTGTCTAATTCACAGCCATTTTGGAACTGTGCTTAAAGGAATCATCTTTGTCCACATTCTTTGGCAAAACAGACCAGAGAGAATAATTGTAGGAGATTGGTCAGGGTGGTGGGAGAAATTGTAGGAAAAACACAGACTTCTTGGAAGTCCGTTGGGGGGTTTGCAAAGCTTCGGGAAAGAATGAGCTGAAGGCAGCAGTTCTTACCCTGGGGCAAAGGGCAAGAAGTAGGTACAAAGGAATGCAGGGGAGTTTATCTGAATAGGTTGTTTACTCGTATCTCCAGAAACCTGGCCTTTAATTATCCACATGCAATTACCCACAAGTGTATTGACTCAAGGCCTTTGTCATTAAATCTATACTGAATAAATGCCCACAGCACCAGTTGGTCAGGGCCACAGCTGCTGACTCTTTACAGTACTCTCTTTGGGGTCTGTGGCCATCCCTGGTCCCCTAGCCCGCTCTTTCACTGGATACCTGTGTCTGAGTGCACTTGTTCGTCTGTCGTTCAGCCAGGGTCTCTGGGTCAGACCTGGCAAATAATTATGGTGTGAAGAAAGGGTCAGAAGGTCCAGGAGTGGTGACTCACACCCGTAATCCCAGCATTTTGGGAGGCCAAAGTGGGCAGATCACTTGAGGCCAGGAGTTCGAGACCAGCCTGGCCAACATGGTGAAACCCTGTCTCTACTAAAAATATAAAAATTAGCTGGTGAGGTGGTGCATGCCTGTAACCCCAGCTACTCAGGAGGCTGAGGCAGGAGAATTGCTTGAACCTGGGAGGCAGAGTGAGCCGAGATTGCACCACTGCACTCCAGCCTGGGTGACAGGAATCTATCTCAAAAAAATAAAATAAAAAGGATGGGTCACAGACCTGAAAAAGGAGATAGATAGTGCCTCAGTCTGGAGCATGATGTGTTGAGGGCACAGATGGGCACATGGAATATTCCAGCACTCCTCAGGGTTCTCAGAATACCTGCTGACATCACAGAGGGATCAGATTGTAGACCACTGTACAGCAAAGGAAAGGAGACCTCTCATGCTGGAAATGGATTGGAAGCAGAATAAGTCATTTTTTCAATAATTGTCTATGCCATGTGTATTAGCCAAAAATAAATTTAAATCTGTAAATATTATCTTTCTCACAGATATCCTTTAAAATACATTAAAGGATAGCATCATATTGTGCAAAATAATAAGTGGATTTTTATGCCTTTTTTCTGTTCGCAGGCCACCTCTCTTTGCCAGTCTTGACAAATAATTTCTTAATGAAGCACCTATTTCAGGCTGAGCCACAAGATGTCAGCCTAAGCTTAGTCATTTTGAATTTTCCTGGCCCTTGCAACAACTACATTTTTTCACTTTTATGACCAAGAGAAAGTTGGAGAAGCTCATGACCCCTCAGGATTAGGTATAGAGACCACAGCAGCTGCTTGCCCTGGGAGCTCTTTATGCCTGTTCTCAGCCATCTTCAGTGAAGATTTCACAAGATAACCCAAAACTGGCTCCTTTCTGTGACACCACCCAGGAAACTGCATTCCAAGTGTGGGTGTGCACGGATCTCCACCATTGGTCCTTGTTCTCTCTCCTGCCCTGTCCTTTCTCCCCCTCCTCAGTTATTCTCTGGGGCAGGTGAGTAATCCTCCGTGCCTTGTAGATGTCCATTCGGGAATGAGATCCTACCTTTCCTTTTCCCAGGCACCCCCAGCCTCATGAGGGATTCCTATCACGTAGCTTTAGAGATGAGAAGGCATCTTTGTCATGAACTCTTGCTTCATCAGGTTGAAACTCACACTTCCTGTGAACTCCCACTTCTCTCAATTCTTTCACATGCTGGGAAGGGGACTGCAGAGACCTTTAGGGATAGTACAGAGGATGTGTCTCCTCACGGTCAGCCCAGGGCAGGGACTGGACTCAGTGGTTTGCAGCCCTTTTTAGAAAGTTGGCATTTAACTCACTTTGTCATTAGGTTTGGTTCATTGTCATCAAGATGGAGCCATGGTGAATGTCCTCC